TAATTTCCACATTAAGTGAAATAGAATGTTAGAACATGACTTGGAAATTATACCATATTATAGTCTAGGCCTGCTCTCTCTCTCTCCTCCTTATTATCCTTTAAGCATCTCAACTAGCTTCCTGCCTTAGCAGTGATTGTCAGCGTGCTGAGAGGGATTCACTTTTATGTTTGGCCCTTAATCCGCATCATTAGTAATTTTCCCAGATCTGATACAGGTTTCTCTCACATTTTCATTAGCCTTATGGCTTTCAGGGAAGCCAATCCTTCAACAGCTTGGATAATTTTTTTCTTTGTTTTTGAGGATCGTTAAGATTGTTGAGTGTGACACACCTACATTGTGAGCTACAGTAGCATTTAGTGATTTTCCACCTTCATACTGGTCATCAGCCTTTTGTTTCACTTCCAAATCCATCCTTGCACTTTGCCTCTTGCTGCTGCCCTCACTAGCACTGGTTGTGCTGCATTTGGGAGCCAAGGTGCACTTCCTGGCAATATATTTGAAAGGAAATTAAACAGAGAGACACGCAATACACAAGACTGGATAATCCTGCCTACTCTTCAAAGCATACATGCATTGTTGTATACTCAATAAACTTTTTAGATAGAAAGTACAATACAGTACATACATAAGCTGGTGTGTGTGTGTGTGTGGGGGGGGTGTGCTCTGGAGTTGGTTCCAACTCACAGAGACCCTGAACGGGGTTTCCAAGGCTGTAAATCTTTATGGGAGCAGAAAGCCTCATTTCTCTCCTGTGGAGTGGCTGGTAGATTTGAACTGCTGACCTTGATGTTAGCACCTCAACTAAGCTACCTGGGGTCCTTATCAAGGCATAAGTATTTTAGGTTATGATATGTACTGGACCATCATATACCTGACAGTACAATCCCTTTGTATACAAAAGACAGGAGATGCACATGTTACTTGCAGGAAACTGTTGTGTTTGTTACATCCCATTCTCCAACTGGGATTTCTGAATTCTGTTATAACCTTATAGGACCACAGACATATATATATAGTCAAAAATTGCCTGAATGCACATTATAATCCTCATGACTGTATAAACTAGTAAAAGGGGGCATAATATGAAATGAAACAGAGATTAAAAGGGTAATAAGAGAATATTTGTAATGATTTTATATTGTTTGAAAGCTTAGACACAATGGACAAATTCCTAGAAAAATATGTTTTGAAATAAATCCAAGAAGAAATAAGACACATGACTAGGTATAGAACCATTAAATAAACTCACTCAGGCGCTAACAATATGCACACACATACACATACCAGGATACAACAGCTTTCCAGGTAAATTCCACAAGCTTTTCAAGAAACACATGCGTTTAATTTTCACAAATTCTTTCAGTCAAGGGAAACAGAATGTTCCCACCTCATTGTATGAGGCGAATATACACCTGACATTAAAACTAGGGCAAGAACAATATGTGAAAGGAAAATGACAAGTCAATCTAACTCATGATCATAGATAAAAAATCCCAAAGTATTAGTTAACCAAATCTATCAATATATAGTGGTTTAATATTAGAAAACCTATTAATGCCATCCCTTGCATTAATGAACTAAAGAAAGAAAATTCACATAATAAAAATAGATTCAGGGTAAACATCTGAGAAAATTTAACATCCATTAATAAGTAAAATTCTTCCTTAATCTTCAAGAGGTATCTACAAAGACTTCCAACAAAAAGTATTTTGGTGAAACCTTAAACATAATCCTTGACAATCAGGAGAAAGGCAGCCAACTCAACCTTCTCACCTTTGTCCTGCGTGTCCTAAGCAGTATAATTTAAAAAGGTGGGGAAAGGGAGGAAGAGTTACAGTAATAGGAAAAAAACACACATTTTTCTTATTTTCAGATAATTTTCATAGGAAACCCAAGAGAATCTACAGAAAACCTTAGACATAATGCTTATCAAGACTGCTGGGTATAAGACCAATAAACAAATATTAGTATTATTCATATATACCAGCAACAACCTAACAGAAAATAATTTTTTAGTATTACATTCATAATTGCAGCAAAACCCATGAAGAACCTAGGAATAAATGTAACAAAAGATATGTAACATCTTTATAGGTAAAAGTACAAAATCTTATTGAAGGACATAAAAAAAGATCTCATAAGTATTTATGGATGAAAGACTCAATATCATAAACAAGTCTATTCTTCCAACTCCCATCCAACTTAATCTACAAATTCAGTGTACTTCCATTGTAAATCCCAAAGGTTCCATAGTGGAGGCTAATGGATTCTCAAATTCAAAGAAATACAAAGAACAAGAAAATCTAGATCATTTTAAAGGAGAAAAAATGCCAATGGATTAAGCTTGCATGATAGCAAGATTTACTATAAATCTATAATAATAAAAATAGTGTATTATTGGTCTGAGGACAGACTGAGCAGATTACTCATTAACAGACTTACAAATTATGGGAACCTAATTTGTATGAACTGCCTTAAATCCTGGTGTGATGCTGGTGTGCAAAGTAGATTTGAACCACAAGGTTGGCAGTTCAATATCACTGGTCGATCCTCAGAAACCCTACAGAGTCACTATGGGTTGGAACTGAGTCAATGGCACTTAACAACACCAACAGTGTATGAACAACTAAGTTTCTTAAAATCAATGAAAAAAGACGGTGTATTTAATAAATGATGCTAGGAATACAGAGTACTCACGTGGGGGGGGGGGCGGAAATGAAATTGGACCCCTACCTGCAACCACATATGAAGAAATAAACACTTTATGATTTTGCAATGTTTCAAAATGGGAATAATTAAGCTCCCAGAGCAAATGTCAAAGTGAAGCCTAAAAAGATGGTGGTTCAAAGATCCAATTTGGACTCACAATTTCATACCAATTCAGACTTGGGACACTTTTGTATTCCTATTAACAACTATACATTCAAGAAAGGTCCAGGTCTTCCTAAGAGGGATCACTGCATAATAATACTGACAAGAAGTGAGGGAGGAAACACAGACATGTAACTTAAAGACATCTCTGAAATTCAGAAAAAAATTGGCTAGGAGGCAACCTGGATTCAAATGATCATTTTTTTCTGGGGTAAAGTAAGGATACATAAGAACAACTAGTGAAAGAGTGAGTCTAAAGTCAGTCCAATCCCTGAAATGAAACAAAGCCAATCCAATCCCTGAAATGAAACAATTAGTTACAAATCAAGTCAGATTAGACTTCCCAAGCAGTGGTCCTTTTTTTGAGTTAAAACACTGAAGTATTATTGTTTCTAAGTGTACCAGAATGCTTGCCACATTCTGTGATACAATCTTGTTTCATTTTACTCTTCAATAGCTGAGAAGTACATTGTATGTGTGACTATACAAACACCAAGTTAACTTACAACTCACCAAAGAACAGAAGTGACTTATAGTAAATGATTTTAGAAATGGATTTTAGGAAATGGAATCATTCGTTTAAACTGTTTCTTTTAAATAAGGGCTGCTACACTTATCCTTTTTTGGCTAGGTGAAATAAAAAGCAAACCTAGGTTTGTTTGTCGTTATTACATATGAAAATGTACAGCAACCCAAAATCTAAGCATAAGCATTTTTGTAGGGTTTTCTTTTGTCTTCCTAGCCTACTGACCTGAATATTCTGGCGATATTGGTACAGATATCCTTGTCACCTACGCATTGCTCCATCACGGTACAGAACTCAGGCAGGGCACTGATGCTGAGGAGCTTACTTCTTACCAGTGGTGAATCGGCCAAATTTCTCAGTGTAGCAGTCACCTAGGATAAAAAATATGTTTGTGTCATCTTTTCACTTGGAAAACAGCAACAATAACGCAATCCTGGTGTGGTGCTGTAGGATGAGCACTGGACCGGTAAACAAAAGGTCGGCAGTTCAAACCCACCAACCACTCCCTGGAGACTCTATCCAGGGGTCACTCTATCCAGCCGAAACCGACTCACAGCACTTAACAACAACAAAGGAGCACTGGTGGTGCAGTGGGTTAAGTGTTGGGCTGATAACTGCTAAGTCAGTGGTCTAAACCTGCTTCACAGGAGAAAGACAGGGCTGTCTCTCCCAGAAAGAGGTAGTCTCAGTTCTACTCTGCCCTAAGGGGTCGCTCTGAGTCGGAATTGACAAAACGGCAGAGGGGTAATCAGCACAGCATCATCATTCATCCATAAATTTAATTGCATCAATAACTAAATCAGGCCCCTAAAATTTAATCCATTCCCAGCAGACAACATGGGTTTGGGCACAAGTAGTATGAAATAAAAACTTAATATACAAAGCAAGCCTAATATGGTTCAAAGTTAAAGCATGAAACATTAATATTAGTAAACAAAAAACAATATCCTGAGGGTAGACAAATCATATGAGTTTGCTAACAGTAATAAGTCTTCCATCGACCCTGTGATAAACCACATCAGTTCCATGGAAACTTCTCATTCTGTATTTTTATAAGTAGCATCAATAATGATGTGGCCAAGCAATATTCAGGACAGTTAGCTCTTCATTCCTTCCCAAGAGGCGACTATTGAGAAACTTGAAAATTAATCTTATTTTGTAAAAAATTTTCCATAAAGCTACTTCCTTCAGCCTTCATCTAAAAGTTGAGCAGGGAGCAATTTAGTAAACCCATAAAGCTAATGTTGCTGCATCTCATTTTCTAACATGTAGCATAGTCTTTCCTCCTGGGATAATGTTTTAAGTGAGGTGGCCCCACCATATAATAGCCTGGGTCACTTATTTTACCTTGAAGAGCACATTTTTCTCAGCAGTAAAACGGTGGTTGTTAGTTGCCCTTGAATTGGAGACAATGATAACTGCCTTGGAGTTGTGAAGTTTGAATGAGATGAAACGTGTAAATGTGTAAATTACATTTCCTGTTCACATAAGCTACTGGAATGCACTAGGGTAGAGAGTCAAATCTCTTCCTATTTAAGTGACTTGGAGAGGCCATTCGTTAGTCAAACTCTCTATCTTCCTCATCTGTGAAAATGAGATTGTACTTCCTGCTCACATCTCAGGGTACTGTGTGTATTGGATATAAAACAAGTAACAATGTTTTTGCGCGTTGCCAAGCATTATGAAGGTATTTGGGTGATGCAAACAATTTGCACTCAACAACTGCTCTGGACTGCTAGCCATAGGGTCAGAGGTTCAAACCCACCAGTAGCACCCAGGAAACCCTATACAGGGTCACTAAGAGTTGGAAATGACTGGATGGCATTTAGCAACAACAACTGACCTGGAGGTTGGAAGTTTGAACCCACATAGTAATGACACAGCTGCTAACTAAAACGTCAGTGGTCAGAACCTAGCAGGCACTCCATGGGAGAAAAGACGGGGTCGTTTGCTCCCATAAAGATTATCTTAGGGGACAGTTCTGTTCTGTAACACATGGGCTACCATGAGTTAAGAAGAACTCACTGACAACAGCTTTAGCTTTTAGTTTGAATGCACTGTGTAAACAGAAGGTATCATTGTAGCCACAGTTAATAAACTTTTAAAAACAATTATTATAGATGATATGCGTATCTCTGATTAATTCTAACTTGTAAAAACAACAACAAAAAGATTGTGTAAGTTAAAACATACCTAACTACTTTGAAAGCATGGGAAGTAAAAATAATGCCTCAAGTCTTTTGTAATCAATTCAGTTATACAATTCAGTAAATTCTTTCCTGAAAGCTTCAGGAGCCCAAACATTAGAGGGGAGACACATGACTCACACATTCCACTTACCCATGGGTCTACAGTGTAGACTCCAAAGCTAAGGAATAGGTCAATAAACCATTCCAGGCCTTCCAGGATATCACTGTTGTAAAATGGAAAATTGTCATCATCTGACCTGGGCTCTCCCTGTTCTCCGTCTTCAGAGACATCCCAGGCACTTGAGAGCTACTGGATTACATCAAGTCAAAGATGACTTACAGGCCTTCTGCTGAGGAGGCCCAGAACTCGGAGGCCTATGTAGAATCCTCACCTGAACCATGGGATACCAAGAGACATCTATTCTAATTGCTGTGCACATTCAACAGTGCCTTTTCCCAGGTCCCAGTACAACAAAAACTGGGTACCCCAGACCCACTTTGCTCCTCACATCTAACTTCTGGTACTGCCAGTAGAAGGAATGGTATTTTCTTTAAAACCTTTCATTTTATTGCTTCAACCTCAGTTTTTTCTCCCTCACAACTTTTTTTCACTTTAATAGAAAATGTTGCTGTTGTTAAGTGTTGTCAAATTTGATTCCAACTCATAGAGACCCAGTTTAGGGTTTCCAAGCAGCAGCTGGTGGGTTTGATCTGCCAACCTCGCAATTAGCAGTCCTTATCCTTCCAAGCCACAGCAGGACAGCTCAAGGTTCGTCAGCCTCAGATACACAACTTTTATAAATGGTCTAAATCAAAAGTGGAAGCTCACAATTATCGTGATTTAAATCCCTTTACGTGGTTCTGCTTCCCGTAAAGATTTACAGCCTCGGAAACCCTGTACAGGGTCGCTATGGGTCGGAACCGACTCGACGGCACTTAACAACAAACAACAACGTTTACTACACATATGACATTGTGTGAGGTACATGTAGTTGAATAACACTCCATGTCTCAAAGTACGCTAGATGTGTGCAATTGTGATGTCAGTAGAAATAACACGCACAACACACACTTAAGAGTACACAGTAATACCTCAATCTATGAGACCACCAGTAACCCAGCTGCTTAAGTTTAAAACCTGAGACATCCCCAAATCTTGCCTTTCTGCTTTCTGTCATTCTAATTCCTATTGGCTTTTTCACCAACAAATCAGTTCCCTGAATCATTCAAGATCACATCCCACTGAAGAACTTCTATTTTAACTGCATCAGAAGTTAAACAGGTTTTTGTGTTATGATCTGGCTCCTACCTATGACTCAAACTTCATCTTACTACATACACTCCCCACAAACTTTTAAATATTAAGTTGTTTAGGATTTTATTTTCCTGCTTATTTATGTCTCTAGACTAGATGCTTCAGTGAAGGTTTATACCTTCTCTGTACTTCCACTGCTGTGCCCCAGGCTAAAATCTGTCTAGGACACAGTGGTTCCTCAAGAAATGTTTGTTGATTGACTGAATAGACGAATAGCTACAAAGGAACGACTAAGGGGAGATAGAAAAGTTGCTATGTCAAAAAGCTATGGAAGAAACCAGATTATAACTCTGAGGTACGTGCATTTTAAGATGATTTTAAAGAACTAGAGGAATACAAGAGAAGCCCTGGTACTGCAGGGGTTAAAGCTTGGCTACTAACTAAAGGTCACTGATTTGAACCCACCAGCTGCTTTGTGGAAGAAAGATGTGGCAGTCTGCTTCTGTAAAGATTTACAGCTTGGGAAACCCTCTGCGGCTCTGTCCTATAGTGAGTCAGAATTGATTGGAGGGGGCAGTGGGTTGGAGAGAGGAAAACAATATAATGTATGAAAGAAAATGGGCTCTCTGGACAGGACTATTTTCTCTGTGGATTCCTTAACTTACCTCATTCATGACAGCTGTTCCTGTCCAGACTCCTAAACTCCCATCTCCCTTTTCATACCCGACTGGTCCCCTTCCCTACCTCTTCTCTCCATTACCGGGATTACCAGTTCAGCTTGAACTCACTTCATCTCTTACCCAAACTCTACACCCTGCTGAATGGACCCCTCAGTTTTCCCCTGCTCAGTGCTCCGTGGGGACCACTGCTGCCCAACCTTCCCCTACCCATTGTGTCAAACCAGACCCTAAAAGCTCTCCACTCTCTACTGGGCAGTTGACCCCCCCAGGCTGGCCCCTTGCACTGCCATCACTCCATCACCACCACCACACTCTCTGGCCATCGTTCTGCACACTTGTGCTTTCACAGTGCACTGCCTTTGACTCCACTACTCCGGCCCAGCTTGTCCTCCATGGGCACAGCTTTCTGCCTGTCTCTTCTCCGCCTAGTACACCCCTGCTCATTTTCCAGGTTGAGCTTGTACTCATGTTTCCTCTGTGAAAGTTTCCCAATGGGCAATCCCATACTCTTTGGTGTTGATGCAGCTAGAACGCACGTCACAGATTTATAACCACCCATTCTGATCACCTCCTCTCCCACTGTGAGTTCCTCTTGTGTACAAACCATTCCTTCTCTCCATTCCAAGTGAAAATATTTGGAGGGTGACACAGGTGAACAGAAGAAGCTCTTAAATGTTCAGTTGCTGAATCCCTATCTGGGGGTGAAGCACAGAAGGAGAGAGAAGGGGGGGAGGAAGAAGAGGATAGAAAGGAGGAGGGACACAAGAGAAGAAAACCCCCAAAGCCAAGTCCACTGCCATCCGGTAGATTTCAGCTCACAGCAACCCTGTAAGACAGAGGAGAACTGCTCCTTAGGGTTTCCGGGACAGTCAATCTTTATGGCAGCAGATAGCCTCATCTTTCTCCTGCACAGTGGCTGGTGGGTTTGAACTGCTGACATTGCAGTTCGAAGACCAACACTTAACACACTGCTGCACCACGGCTCCTTAGACACAAGAGAAAGAGGTTTTTCTTTAAGAACCTCTTTGCAGGAAAGTGAAGGGGATTAGCAGAGGCCTAGTGGTAAACCAGAGATTAAGCTCCTGAGGGACAAGGATCAAGAGGAGGAGGTCACCAGGCAGATGTAGCTGTGAACTCCCCACAGCCCCTACCCCCTTTTTGAATGACTTCCCTGAGAGCCACCAATCACAATGGAGGGAATAGAGGAACCTGGGTTCTCTGAGAGTGACTTTCTGGGAAAAATGTGA